ATATATATATATATATATATATATGCGCATTCATGTATATTTGTATATACATATATATATATGCATATTCATATGAATATGCTGCATTATACAATGTAATATGATGCATCAGTTGACGGATTCATAAGTGTTAAGTTTATAAAGCATTAAATTAAATTATGACAAAAATTTGCTGCTGACCAGCATTTGACTGGGGTCGGTAAATTCTGTAGATTTGAAGTACGTAGGCGGCATCGCTGCGGGGAGATGTTTCTCAGTTAATAGAAAAGCAGAGCCCTAAATAAAACAAAAACAAGACAATAAACAAACAAATCAATTAAAATACACAAAAATAAATAGGGTATGAACGAGAAAATTCAGAGGAATAAGCAGAAAGGCTAGAAATAAACAAAACGCAGACCCTCAACAAAAACAAAACCAACAAAAACAAAACAAAACACGAAGTTGAGGTGTATATGCAGCATCTACCTGATCCTCTCGTTCCATCTCCATGGTGCGGAGTATACTCCGCACTTTTTCTTCGTTTTTCTTCGGAATCCAACACGAGCACCGCAAGGTCATATCGCGGCCTACGAAGAAAGAGAAGAATAACAACAACAATAATAACCAGCAGCAGCAGCAGCAGCGATGGGGTGAGATTGTAACGACAGCAGCAGCAAATTACAGCGCAAAGGAGCAGCAGGAAGCACGCATGCATGCACTGTACAAATATTCCCCATCCACTCGTTATAAGAACAGCCTCATCTAAAAGTTATAATTGAATAACATCTATCAAGAAATGCATCAGCAACTGCGCATAGATTATGAATGCATGCATGCAGAAAGAAATAAATGCAACGGCCAGGATAAACGAACAACAGAAAAAAGAAAATACACCCCAAACATACAAACAATATATCATAGGCTTAGGGTTTTCTGTCTGCTTCCTTTAAGCATAGGAGTTTTGGTTTAGGGTTTAGGGTTTCGTCAATGTGATTAGGGTTTAGCGTTTTGTCTATATTTAGTATTTTGCATTTCGCCTTCAAATTTAGGATTAGATCTTAGGGTTTAGGGTTTTGTGTGGTAGCTTAGGGTCTAGGGTTTATGGTTTAGGGTTTGGTGTGATAGCTTAGGGTTTAGGGTTTAGGGTTTAGGGTTAGCACCTTCGAAGCAGTTAAGAGAGGCATATATAGCTTTTTCTTTTTGACAGAACATCCTCCACTCTTCAATAAGAGAAGACCCTCCTTCTCGAGGTACTTCTAATAAAGTAGAAATCTCCCCCAAGAAATAATGTTCATAGGCTGCTAGAGCTTTTTCTTTATCTTTAATTACCTCCGTTAATGCTGCAGCAAAACAAAACAAACACAACACTAAGCTGAACAATCCGCAAGAAAAACAAATTAAATAAACAGCAGCAGCAGATGCTCTCGCTGCACTGTCTACATATACACAGACAAAGACAGACAAATGCAAGAAAAAAAGAAGTCAAGGAATGAAAGAAACAAATAAACATCAGAAGAGGAAGCAAGTTAAAGAACACAACAGCAGCAAAACCGATAAGCACCAACAGGCCTGCAGCACTCTGCTGCAGCAGCAGCAGATGAGCAACAGCATTTTGCTGCTGCAGCAGCAGATGAGCAACAGCACTTTGCTGCAGCAGGAGCAGATGAGCAGCAGCAGCAGGAGCAGCAGCAAACTCACCTTGCAATCTCTCTTCAGCTGCTCTAAAAGTCTGAGGCCATTCATAGCAGTGCCCATTGAAAGCATCGGCGACCTTTTTGATTTTTTCATGAAGTAGAGACTGCGTGCTGCCTTGGTGATAGACAACAAAGACACTCTTATGAACGTGCTGACCTGTCTTTGGGTCTAGGAACGGCTGCTCTATTGATTGAAAAAAAGAAAAAGCATTGCCCCTGGTTGAGCGGAATAATGTGCGCTGATAGCGAGAGACATCTGCTGCAGCAATCACCCCTGAGACTGCAGATACTGCCGAAATAGGCATATTCTTTGCCCCTTGAAGAGCAAGACCCATACCTAACCCATCTTCCAAAGATAAATGCTGCTGCAAGGGTAGCTGCTGCTGCTGCTGCTGCTGCGGCTGCTGCAGTAGCGTGTGCCCATCATCCTCACCCTCTGAAAAACTCTCCCCACGAGGAGCTGCAGCAAGGGGGCCCCTAATTGCTGCAGCACCGCCTCCCTGTAGCTGCTGCACTGCTACGCGCAGCACACATTGCTCCTCTATTGCTGCATTCTTCTCCAATTGCAAATTCGTATTATTTCCCTTAAACAATACAAACTGTCCATACAGCCGACTCAACGCTTCTTCTACTTTATCTAAGACATACCCGTGACCGTTATCTAGAAAACTCTTCTCTCCCTCTGGAGCAACCACCACAAGGGGCCCCTCTTGTCTTACTGCTGCTGCAGCACCGCCTCCTGCTGCTGCTGCTGCTGCTGCTCGCGCGGCCCCGGGGCCCCCTTCTAGACAGCGTATCTCTTCCTGAAGGAAACGGATAATTCTCTCCATCTCTTCTATTCGCTGTATGTAGTTGTTGTAAGGACGCACCAACGCATTTGCTTGCATATCTACAAACTGCACAGCCCCAAGACGGCCTATCCGCTCTAATATTTCGTGAGCGATGGGTAAAGAAGACGGCAGCACCATCGTGCCCCGCACCATGGGCTCGCTTCGAAACGTCGACATCTTCGTTGAGGGTTTAGGGTTTCTTAGGGTTTAGGGTTTACGGGCGTCCAGTGTAAGCAATCAAGCACACAGCGATAACAAGGTGTGAATACACAGAAAGACCAGCTGATCGTACACCCGCTGCGCCTCCCTTAAACTCCTCCTTACTCATACCTCTCCCGCCTTCTGCCGCTGCTCTTCGCTCGCTCTTCCTGCTGCAGCATAAGCAGCAGCGGCAACACAGCAGCAGCCACGGGGAGAAGGGGGGGGGGGTCGGTCCCACCAAGCTGCTGCTGCAGCTGGAGTCCTTGAAATCGCCTAATTGGCGTAAAGGATGATGAAGGAATTTACAGGCGACCTCTCAATGTCTGTTGTTTGTTTTTGCGGTCTCTCCTTCTCTCAAATCACGAAATAACAGCTGCAAAGGCTGCAGCACCGCCGAGGGGGAAAGGCGGAAGAAGGGAGGGACTCCCCTTCAGAGTCTTGGTTTAAAAACCACAAAAAGTATTTCGGACTACCGGAGAGAGAAGACGAAAACACAAACATGCCGCAGCAGATTGAATGCAAGGACGCTCTACATACACCGCAGCATTCCACCTGAATTCATGAAAGAATGCGAGGAAACCGAGGGAACGCGGGTTTATTTTGAATGCAAAAACGAAGAAAAACAACCAAATGTTGTGCAAACTACAAATAACGGCGCCCGAATGATAAACAGCTACACATAGGAAGAAGCCGCTGAGCTACCGGATCTGTTAGGAAAGCAGCACACAGGGCGGTCTGTGTTGAGTATTTTCAAAGCCTCGACCGTCAATAGGTATCTAAAATGGCAAAAGAACGCAAATAGACCTTTTATTCGCTCTTTTTCGCACAAAAAGAGAGCAGAACAGCCCCCCAGCCGCTGAAGCTTAAACGTGGCGCCTAAACACAGGGAGGGAAGCGGCGGGGCTTCCTTTGGGGTAGTTCAACGAACAGCAGTATCTTTCTTGTTCTTTCAACATGAATGTATGAAAGTTTCCGGTTATTTCGCCGGTTTGTTGCACTTTAAAAAGCTGTCGAGACACCCGACGCACTGCAAAAACCTCTGTGGCGCTTCTTCTCTGTTCAACTTCTTTCGCGGGGTGTCCGCGCATCAGCAGCTTTCGCCGTTCTTCTTTGCTCTTACTGAAGAATTACTATTCTGTTTCTTCTGAAAATATCTTAGACCGTCTACTTTGCTCAGTTGCGCCCTTCAATTGAAGCCAGTGGGGCGTGGATGCGGCGCTCCTCTCTTCGCGATTGAGATTCCCTGGCGCCTTAGCATCTGTCTGTCTGTCTGAATGGCTCAGGCTCACTGAATTCAGAAGAACCCGCTTAAAACCCCTTTTGCTGCTTCTCTGCAGCCGGAGTCCAGCCGAAGCAGCGGGGGCACAACAACTCTTCATCAAACACATTATTAGCGGACAAAGCAGCAGCAGCAATAGCAGCAGCAGCACCAGCAGCAGCACCAGCAGCAGCACGGGTACCTCCTGCGTCTGTCTGCGCGCTGGGGCATGAGCTGTCGCTTCGACTTGTACGCAGTTTTTTCTTCTTTGTTAGCTGACGAGGCATCTGCGAGTTGTAGGTGCCTTGATTTTGCTGTGGGTGATATCCTGTTGGATTGGAGTATTATTAGCGAGAACAAGGATCTGCGTGGGTAGCAGCGGCAGCTGCTGCAGCAGCAGCAGCAGCAGCAGCATTGGCGATGTTGATATATTTTCGTCTAAGTTCAGAGCACTCAGGTGCATACCGTGAATGCCCTATATCCACCCCAACTATAACAGTAGGGGAGTTAAAGCAGCTATTAGCTCGTCACTGTGGCTTTAGTGGAGAGTACCGTCGAAAGATTGATTTACGTTTATTTCTTGTGGGTAGTCGTTCATCATCAAAATGTGGTGGTGATGCTTCTCCAGGCTCTGGGGGGGCCCCTGGGGCCCCTGGGGCCCCCCACCCAACTGGGGGCCCCCCAACAGGGGGGCCCCCTACTTCTACAGAAGAACTGGTTGAGACTGTAGGAGAAGAGCAGCAAGTGCATGCATTCTCTCGTGTAGTAATTCAAAGAAGAGCTGTTGTGGGGCCCCAGGGGCCTCAGATATTAAAGCATGACGCCCGATCTGCATTAACAGCAGAGGAGTGGGAGAGCGCTGAACCACGTCGGGGGGGCCCCCGTAAGCAGCGGATTCCTAAGGAATGGATGTGCTGCTTCTGTAAGGGGCTTATGAGACAGCCTTTATTAATTAAATGTGCTGCGAACTGCGGCAACTCTGCATGCAGAGCTTGCATTGAAGAGAAGCTGCAGCAGGAACGTGTCTGCCCTTTCTGTCGCTCGGGCTTCCGCCAGCTTATTAAAAATAAAAGATTAGAAGATATGATAAGAAGCATTAATCCAGATGACTACGAGCTGCCTGCTGCTGCTGCAGCAACAGCAGCAGCAACAACTGCAACAGACCCAACCGCAGCAGCTACTGACGCTCCTACGGCCACTCTCCAATTGTCGGGTACCCGCGTGCAGCAGCAGCAGCAGCAACTGCAGCAGCAGAGAGCAGCAGCAGCTGGCAGCCAGGTACCTGGGCTGCTTCCAGGAGGAGGTATTAAAACGGAAGCGGCACACATGAGTACTGCAGAGACCCCTGCAGCAGCAGCAGCAGCAGCGGCAGCAGGGGGGCAGGGCCCCCGCCATTTTGTGTATTTGCTGCCTCTGAAGAATTTGCAGCTGATGCGGCAGCTGGATATGATGGTGGTGGAGGCAGCCTCTGAACTTGCTGCTGCTCTTGCTACGGCATGCATGCGCGATGCAGAGTCTGCTGCTGCTGCTGCTGCTGCCAACGGCAGCAGCACGGAGGGTAGCGGTGCTGATGCTGCTGCTGCGAGTATAGCAGCAGGAGCAGCTGGTGCTGCAGGTTCATTGTCTGTGTTGGGAATGGGTGGGTGTGCTGCTTCTGGTTCTGCTGCGTCTGCTGCTGCTGCCTCTGCTGCTGCTGCTGCTGCAGGAGCAGGTTTTCTTGAGCCTAATGGGGGCAGCAGCGAGTGGATATATCTTCTTCCTTGTTCTCTATCTGGAGGGGGGTCATCCTTTTCTGTTGGGGGCTCCGTCAGGCTGAGAGCAGCTAACAGAGTGCAGCCTTCAGACCCATCTTGTGCATACATTCTTTCAGCATGGGTTTCGCAGCAAGGAGCTCAGGGTTCTGCTGCTGCAGGGGGGCCCCCTAGTGGGGGCCCCCCTATTGGGGGCCCCTCTGGTGGGGGCCCCCAGTGGTCTTCTTCTTCAGGTGTATCTACACCTGCTTATGTTATTCGAATTAATTGGGTAGAGAAATATGGAACTATGCCGATGCTGCCTTCTAGGAAGCAGCCGCTATGTGCATTATTAGGGGGCCCCCGTAGGGGGGGCCCCCTTCCTGTTCGTGGTGGTGGGTCTGGTATGGGGGGCCCCCTTTGCAGCAGCGGGGGGGGCCCCTCTGGGGGCCCTGGATTGCTTAAGAGAACGGTTTTAGGGGCCTCCACTGAGGTAGCTGTTGATGCTAATAAATTCAGCGAAGTAATGTTAGGTGTAAGAGATTATCTGCAGTTCGGCAGCAGATCGAGCGAGCCCTGGAGGGGGCCCCAACAGACAGCGCAGGGGGGCCCCCTTGGGGCCCAGGGATCCGGTGCAGCAGCAGCAGCAGCTGCTGCTGCTGCTGCTGCTGCAGAGGCAGCGAGGAATAGCAGTCCCCCACGAGCAACAAATGCATTTGCAGGGGCAGGGCCCTCAGGTGAAGAGGGGGCCCCTTTATCTGTTTCGTCTCTGTTGTCTTTAGCTGCTGCTGCCCGTCAACAACAACAACAACAGCAGCAGCAGGGACAGGGAGGAAGCGCAGCGGAAGCAGCAGCAGCAGCAGCAGCAGCAGCAGGGGGCCCCAAGCCCCTGGGGCTACCGGGGCGCCCTCTGGATATCAAGAATCCTTTCATAGGTTATACAGCAATTCTTCCTTTTCTATCAGAAGAGCAGTTTAATCATGTGCGGCGTCTGCAGATAAAAGCACTTAAAAAAACAAACAAAGCCGGCAAAGGGGGAGGGGCCCCAGAGGCCCTTAAGGGGCCCCCAGCTAGAGGGGCCAGCAGCAGCAACAGCTGCAACAGCAGCACCTGCAGCAGCAGCAGCAGCAACACGCGACACACCAGCCTTGATAATAACCATAAAACAACAGGTGCAGCGGTTTGCAAACCCTCAACAGGACCTGCTGCTGCTGCTGCTGCAGGAACGGCAGCGCGCACAGCAGCAAATACAGCAACAGCAGCAAGCGCAGCCACAGCACCAAGTGCAGCAAGAGCAGCAACAAGAAAAAAATCAGGAGCGAGCACGCCAGCTGCAGCGCTAGCAGCAGCAAAAGCAGCAACGCGAGCACCAGTTGCAGCAGTACCGCCGGCCTTGCCAGCAGCAGCAGCAGCAGCAGCAGCAGCAGCAGCAGCAGCAAGAGCAGCATGTGTTGCGTCAAGAGTTGGTACGTGTTCAGAAGTTCGTAGTTCATCATCATCATTATCTGCTGCTGCTGTTGATTCTGTTTCTGCTGCTGATTCTGTTGCTGGTGCTGCTGCCACTGGTGCTGTTGCTGCTGCTGCAGCTGGTTCTGCTGCATCAGTACCTTGCACAGTGCAGAAAAGAGGGGTAGGGGGCCCCCTCTCTGCTTCAGCTCGTAGGGCCCCTGTAGTGGTGCCGCCTCCACTAAAGCGGCTGCGCGTTGCTTCAGGGGGGGGCCCCTCGGGGGCCCCCGTGGGCGTAACAGCCTCGGGGGCCCCTGGGGGCCCCCCAGAGGCCCCCGTTGGGGGCCCCCTTGGGGGCCCCCTTGGGGGGCCCCTGGGGGCCCCCGAGGCTGCTGCTGCGCCTTGTACGTTTGCTCGAGAGACACTGGGTAGTAGGGAAGCACCAGCATCTGTTGAAGATGCAGATGCTGCTAGCTGCAGCAGCAATGGGGGAGAGTTTGGCTGTTCTGCTGCTGTGGCGTTAGCGAAGGGCATACAGGAGCAGCAGGGCTGTATTAGAGACACCGGAGCAGGCAGCAAAGGAGAAAGTTACGTGCAGCAGCAGCAGCAGCAGCTGCTGCAGCTGCAGCAGCTGCAGCACACAGCTCCGGACGGGGCTCCAGACGAGGAAGAAACGGGGGGGGGCCAGCTAGAGTAGGGGGCTGCTGTCACAGCAGCAGCAGCAGCACGCTGCTGCTGCTGCTGCAGCTGCAAAAACACAACAGCAGCAACACCCATTCATAATAAGCAGCAGACAGCAAACACATCAGAACATACAAACAGACAGGGGGGGAGAGTAGGCTGCTGCAGCTTGAGGGTTTAATTCATCAGGGGGCCGCAGCTGGCCAGTGCACTGCTGCTGCTGTTGCTGCTGCTGCTGCTGTTGCTGCTGCTGCTGTTGTTGTTGCTGCTGCTGTTGTTGTGGCTACCTAAGAAGGGGCTGCTTCGCCTTCGGCCCCTCTCCGGGCGGTTCATTCTTTTCAGCTGCAGCAGAGTCTGGCGCTGCGGCTCCGTTGTACACCAGCAGCAACACCAGCAGCAGCAGCAGCAGCAGCAGCAGCAGCGAGCCCCTAGTGGTGGCTCAGGGTGCAGCAAGCGACGCGGACGGGAGGAGATGAAGGACAGACATCACTGGGCCCGTTGGGGTGACGCCGTTGGCAGTTCGAGTGACGAACTTGCCACCAGCTAGCTAGCTAGCTAGCTAGCCATAGATAGCCGGCTAGCTAGCTAGCTGGTTAGCTACTGGTAGCTAGCCAGCTAAGAATGAGGCTAGCGAACTGGCACAGCAACGAAGCGAACAAACTAGCCAGCTAGCTAGACTGTTGTCTCCTAGGCTGGCTAGCTACTTAGCTAGCTAGCTAGCCTAACAGCTCGTTAGCTAGCTAACTAGCCAGGTAGCTAGCTGACGGACTAGCTCGCTGGCTATTTGACTAGCTAGCTAGCTATACGGCTGGCTAGCTAGCCACTTGGGTAGCTAGCTAGCTACCTCACTGGCTAGCTAGCTAGCTGTTTAGCTAGCTAGCTATCTGGAACCTGGACGCTCTAAGAGTGGTTGGCTTTAGCTGTTGATTTGTGGCTGCAGCTTTTTGTTGTTTTGTGCAGTTTAAAGCAGGAGGGACTCTGCCTGCTTTAGCTAGCTAGCAGCAAGCTAGGTGTAAGCAGCAGCTAGCCAGGTCGCAGCAGCAGCTAGCCAAGTCACAGCAGTAGCTAGGTAGGTCTCAGAAGCAGCTAGCTAGGCCTCAGAAGCAGCTAACCAAGTCTCAGCAGCACCTAGCTAGCGGCACCACTGCAGCTAGCTGTTTGTAGAGCTCTCGCTGGTTCTCGTATTTGCCTTCGCTAGCTAGGACAGGAGCACTGCAGCTAGCTACGAACTATATTGTGTTCGCCTGGCTAGCTAGCCAGCTAGCTAGCTAGCTAGAGAAGAAGATGCAGCTAGCCAGTGATTGACAGCTAGCTGCAGCTAGCCATTGACGTACTTTCCTGCACAGTTGATCGCCCTCCAGGGCTCAAGCTAGCTACCTACAACACTGTGACGGGGTAGAACAGCTAGCTAGCTGTTAGTTGGCTCTCCAGCTAGCTAGCTAGCTAGCTAGCTAGCTGTTAGGTGGCTCTCCTAAGACATGTGAATACGGGTGCTTCATTGTGTGAAACTTAAAACGACTTCAAGAAAGAAGTTTGCTGCTGCAGCTAGCCAAGCGACCACCCAGCTAGCTAGCTAGCTAGCTAGCTAGTTAGCTAGCCACCTAGCTAGCTAGCTTGTTGGCTGGAGGGAGAGAAGAAGACAGCAGCAGGTCCCTGTTTAAAATCGATTATAACTTTAAATGCTGTAAGCCATGCTAAACCCTAAACCCTAATCAAACCCTAAACCCTAATCGAACCCTAAACCCTAATCAAACCCTAAACCCGTCTCATTCAAACACCACCAACATCGCAGTTAAATTATCCTGGAGGAAGCAAAACACAAAAAAACAATATAAATATAAATATAAATATAAATAAATATAAATACAAAATATAAATATAAATATAAATAAATATAAATAGAACTATAAATAGAAATATAAAATATAAATATAAATACGCATGCATAAAATATAAGATGAACGTATATATATATATATATAGATTGAAATACATGCATATATTATAAATATATATATATATATATATATATATTATATGCATACAAATATAGAAGTATATACATGCATTTGAATATAACTACAAA